CCGAGCTCCGGCGGCGGGGCGGGATGCTCGTCGTGGGTGCTGTGGCTGGCCTCCAGCCCGGCGTGGGGTTTTCCTGCGCTCGTGAGGCGGAGGTGGGCTGGAGCCGAGGACTCGCATCCCGGTGGAGTGTGCTGCCTTATATAACGCTTTGCAGTGTCACCAGCTCGGGCCCGAGTGCGTCTGTGTAGCCAAATCGCCTGTTTACTCTGTCATCCTGCTTTAAACTCGGCCAAGGAGTCGGATGGCATGGTCACGCTGCATAACTGGGGCTTTGGCTCCTTGAGTTTACACAAAATAGATGCTCGCAGACTTCTAGGACTTGGGGAATCACACTGATGTTTTTCTTGCTCGCTATTGGAGGCTGTTCTCCCTACCCACCCAGTGGAGAACTGATTATTCCTTTTCCTGCCTGGTTAGTAAACACTGATGTCATTCCCCTCTTGTGTAATCATTTTTTGTCCTGTTTGTGTACCTTGGTCTTCAAATTATATATGTATGGGGAGGGGGAGAGGTAGTGCTGTGAGTCTCCTTCAGTAACTTCAAAGTAAAACCAAAATAACTACAGTGCTTGCAGTGTAGGGATTGTTCATGGTGGCAGTGCAGGATTGTATATTCTAGCTCTCCGAAAAGTGTGCTTTAAATTGTTGCATGTATGTAGAAACAGATCCCTTCTGTATTGAAATAGTGGTGTCTTAGATCCGAACGTGGGAGGGATCAAATCCCATCAATACTTTTTATTTCTCTTCTTTCCCAGGTCATGGTAAAAATCACAAGGATGCTGCCTCGGTCAGGGCTACGCACCCTATACCTGCAGCCTGTGGTATTTATTACTTTGAAGTGAAGATCGTCAGTAAAGGTAGAGATGGGTAAGTGCCTTATTCCAGTTTCCTGGTTGGTGATGTGTATTTAGCAGTTCTGCTATACTCTGACCTCCTTTCTGGAAGGGTTAGAGGTCTCATGGCTGCTGGGTGTAACAGGCAGGTACATCACGGGGAGGTGTTATTCTTTTGGTTAATAGATGTAAATGTGGTAGAATGCACTGGAAGCAGAGGCACTTACACAGCTGCTTTCTGTGTTTGATATGAGCAGTTTTAAAAATGTAGGAAACTTCAGGTCTTTTGGTGCAGTTTGAAAGTTTTTCCTCTTGTTAGGTAGGTCTGCTCACTCAGATTTCTGGAATTATGATGCCTCAGAAGTGGAGTGAAATAGAAGGGAGGAACCTTTAACAATTTTGTACTTTTAGAGACATGTTTGCATGGTGAAGAGTAGCATAGCAGTTCTTGAGCACTGGAAGGAGAACTTCTGAGACCAGATTTTAGAAACCCTATTTGCCTAATTAAGGAACATGCTCAAAGAGGGGGAAATAGAATGATTTTGAATATAAGTTGGAATCTGTGCTACTTCTGTTGTCTCTAGTCTAGGACCTGAACTTGGACTCAAGTCATGACCTCAGGATATATTGTACCACAGAGTGTTGTGACAGTTAACTGTGGAAGGTTGGGAGATTGTGCTGGAACCAGAATGCTAAATATGAGAACACTTTTCCCTGACATGATCATGTGTTTTGTGGTAATATTTAATATTGTAGATTATTGCTGAGGCTGCATTTGTCGTATCAGTCTGTGCTACTTTTGCAGTTCTTCCACTTGCTACTGCTCAAAGCAGCAAATGCTATTGGTAGCATTAGAAGTGCTGTCCCTTACTAGGTGGCACCTCAGTGAACTGATCGGGTTTTGGATCTCATCCAGTCTTGTATGTATACCACTGTATTGGGTAGTATTTTGATCCAAGATGTAACTGAACCAGGATGTATGTGGAGTTGCTTTTAAGCAATATTCAGGATGTTGGGAAATGTGGGAAAACAATAAAGGGGCATTTTTACTGCTAGCGTAAACCTAATTTTTTAATTGTTATGAAGGTATTAGCCTGTTCTCTCTGTGGTGTTTTTCATTGCTAAAGGATGAATATCACAGATATAACTATCCAGAAGGGAAAGCCACACAGGAGAAGGTATTGAGTGTAATTAATCCAGTTCTTCAAGAATAACATTTGAACTCTGTTCAGTTTAGGGGTCTTAGGAAAGTTCAGGGAACATTCCTACTAAAATCCAAATTAAAGTCACAACTTCTTACTGTTGAAATTTTTTGCTGTCATTGTTGAATTGAGAAGTGGCCTATTTATAAAGGGACTTGCGAAGAACCTTGAGTTGTGCTGCATTTTGGGCTGTAATAATTATTAGGTTATCTGTGCAGAGGTGGATGCTGGGCTGAATGCTTTACAAATGCAGGGGGAAAAATAATCTTTTATACTTTCACTTCAGTGCCTTGGTGATTAACTGCGTCTGTTTTTGAAACCCTGCACTTGATTAGTTTATGTAACTGCTAAAATTGAAATAATTTACTGTGAACTTCAAGACAATTTTCCGAAGAAATCACATTATGAAAGGTCACTGAGCAGCACTTAATCCTTACCATGTTCTAGATCAATCTTACAGGGAGATAATGGAATTCGCTGCTTGTTTCCCAAGATCAGTTTTCTATATTAATAGTTAATTTTGTTTTTTATTGTTCTAGAATTACAGTTACTTGCCAGGAATACTTTGAAAGATAGGGAACTGTGTGTATTAACATCCTACCAATACAAACATGAGATGTTGATAGCAATGATCTGAAGTCATGGGCGTGGTGAGCCTTTGAGAGCTTGTTTGATGTCTCAGCTATTCCTATGCCTTGGTTTTTCTTTTGCTTCTGGAGAAAGCTCCAGTTTTTATTTTGCACACTGTAGTGCTGGGGATTTGTAAATGTGAATTTGTATAGTAGCTGCTGCCTGTCTGTCACTTAAGAAGGTACTCCTGTGTGTCTCATCTTTCATAGTTTGAGGTCTGCTCATTGGAGGCTTGGTACGTTGTACTAGTGAACTGCAGCAGAGGTATCTTTTCTTGGGCAGTTTTCCAGTGTTTATTACACCATGGTGGCTTCAGTTTAAAAGAATAAAAGACCAGAAAGCTAAAGAAGCAATTGGAGGAATGAAAGGGAAGTTTTTAAGTGGCAAAGCACAACCCTAGGACTCAACTGGAAGCCCTTTAGCAAGGGGGAGAGGAAGAAGAATCTTTCTGAGCTCATTTCCAGAATGAGCACTTTGGGTGTAAGGTCTCTGCTCCACAGCTTATTTTATTTATGCTGTATGTAGTAGTGAGGTAAGGACAGTGTGTTATTACTTACTGTGTGTCTTTCTGCAGCTGTGATATTTTTAAACCTTGATGTGAAAACCTGAGCGACTGTGTTTCAAAACAAGACTTACTCAAAAAATACTTTGGAATGAATTTCAGGAATTGTGCTTTGAGGAGTTCTGAATGATTTTGCTTAATAGCTCAAACCTATCATCTTCCTGTGCTAACAGTTATTAGTGTAGCGCTCTACACTCTGGTTAGATGCTGACAGTTTCTAATGAACGACAGAAACTAAGGTTGCAGGTAAGAAATGGGATAGAAGCTTCCAGTGCTTTCTACTGGAGCTGTAAGAATCCTGGAGTTCACATGATGACTTTCTGCAGCCTGACAAGAGATGTTGCCTGTATATGATATGCTCTGGTAAGAGTTCTTGAATTGGCATCAGACAGTGCCAGTTCCAGATTGGTGTCACTGTGGTAGAGAAACCTGAGCTATAGAGACAACTGAGGTATCAGTACCACATTTCTAACGTCTCCCTTCTGTTACTTTCATTGGGCTGAGGTGATTTAAATCCAGTATGCTGTGGTTCTCTCCTTTGTTTCTTCCCACCACATTGTATCCTAGCGGTAAAAACACACACCCTCCCTTCCCTTCATTTTTTGGGCAGATTACTTCTCTGCTCAGTTCTGCAAACCCCAGTGCAAGGGAAGAGGGAGGTACTGCAACAGCACAGACACAGGTTGCTTTAGACTGCCACAGCACTGCACCAGTAGCTAGCAGAAAAGCTTCCTCTTTTGCGCTTTCTCCCCAGCCTTTTAATGCACCTGGTCTGTAAAGGTGTTTTTGTTAAATAAGCAAATGAAATGATTTATGAAAACTGTCCCTTTAGCATCACTAGTCTTTTTTACATTGGTAAAATCTAGAGTTTACTGGTAGATATTTCAAAGTAACTACAGCATGCAAAAAGTCCATTTGGTTCCCTTATACTTTTAAGATCACTCAGCTTTTCTTAACTTTGGATCTTCCACTGCTCATGCACTGACGTGTAACCACAATCATCTGAGTTAAACATGACTCAGACAGTTTTAGCTGAAAGGTGGTCATTTCTCATTTTGGTAGTTTTAGTCTTTATTGATAAGAGGTCATGTTTATTTACTGGATTTGGTTTTTGTGGGTTTTTAGTGATGTATGGGTTGCTTTTTTTTTTTTTCTTCATCTGGAAGAGGGGAGGCTGCCAGGCTACCATTGAGGAGGCTAGGTAACACACCACAAACCCGATCTGTCACACTGGATCAGATCTGATCTGTTGTTTGTGTTACTCTGTTCGGGGGAGATGGTTTTTATCCTCAGAAGGGAGAGGAAAATTCAGTTTACAGTCTTTAGTTCCAGTCTTCCTCTTATGTCCTTGTTTGTGCTGAACATGCAGGGAGTGGTTCCATGACACTTTAAGATGATAGAAGTCAAGACAGTGGGATTTTGCCCTTCCATTTGCTGTATGTTTATATGCCTGCCCCCATGCTGGCAGTCTGCTACCTGGTCCTATGGTGAGCTGGTTCAAGGAGATAACTGGCTTAAAGCTGGCCACATCAAAATAATTATGATTTTAACCTATTGGTATCACAGTCAGAAATTGCCATTTTTAAGTTGAGGACTATTTTTCAGGGTTCACCCTGACATGGGTTGAAGGTGAGTCTATAAAGGGATGGACTGAGCTGGGAGAGGGAGGGGTAGGATTGCC